GGCAACACCCTTCAAAGTATGATTTTTCAAATGTTGGCAATCAACCATTTTTAAAAAGTGTGGGTCTGGGCAAATTGACCTACTGCTACAAACTGAATTGTGTCCCTCCCCAAATTCATATGTGGAACTCCCAACCCCCAGTGTGACTGTATTTGGAGATAAGGCTTTTACGGAAGTAATTAAGGTTAAATGAGGTCATAAGGGTAGGGTCTTCCTCCAATGGGATTAGTGTCCTTATAAGAAGAGACATCAGGGAGCTCACTCTCTTGCTCCAGGAGCACAAAGAAGAGGTCATATGAGCACACAGGGAGAAGGCAGCCATCTGAAAGCCAGGAAGAGGGCCCTCACCAGAGCCTGATCATGCTGGTACCCTGATCTTTGACTTCCAGCCCCCAGAACTGTAAGAAAATAAATTTCTGTTGTTTAAGCGACCCACTCTATATAGTGTTTTGTTATGGCAGTCCTAGCAGACTAATACACATACTTATAAAGTTTTTATTGTTATTACAAACAACACTGCAAAAGTTTGTAAATATCTTAAATGGCATTCAATAGAAAACTGTTTAAATAAATTGTGGCTCATCCATGTAGTGAGAAACTATGCAGTCACACAAGAGAATGAGATATTTATTTACATACAGATATGGAAAGGTCTCCAAAGTATATTTTTAAGTAGACAAAGCAAGGTGTAGAACAATATGCAGAGAGTGTTACTATCTGTGTATAAAAGGAAAGGGGGAGAAAAAATACTCATTTGTTTGATATGCATAAAATGCCTGTGGAAGGGGCTTCCCTGGTGGCACAGTGGTTGAGAGTCCACCTGCCGATGCAGGGGACACGGGTTCGTGCCCCAGTCCGGTAAGATCCCACATGTCACGGAGTGGCTGGGCCCGTGGGCCATGGCCACTGAGCCTGCACGTCCGGAGCCTGTGCTCCGCAACGGGAGAGGCCACAACAGTGAGAGGCCCACATACCGCAAAAAAAAAAAAAGTCTGTGGAAGAACTTCCAATAAACAGATAACTTTAGCTGCCTGAGGCAACTAGGGGACAAGACTAGGAGGGAGACTCTTCATTGTATATCACTTTGTATATTTCAAATTTTGAGGGATGTATAATGCATTATTAATTTAAAATTCATTTTTAAATGAAAGTTTTATCAATTTAGGGGGAACAAAACACATGCGTAGGCTGTATTTGGCCTGTAGGCTAATTGGTTGTACCTCTGGACTAAATTAAAGTGGTGGTAATTAGAATAAAAAGAAAGGAACTGATGCCAGATACAAAGGGAAAAAAAAAACATAGCCCTTGGCAACCAAGTAGACAGGGAAACTGAGGAAGAGGTTGATGCCAGCATTTTGAGCATGGAATATGGGAACCACAACAACTATGTTTCCCCATTTCTTACTACACTATCATGCATTCTTCTAAGTGCTTTACAAAATTAGCACATTTATTCCTTACTGCAACCCTATGAGGTAGTTTCTATTATTATCCTCAGTGCAAAGATGAAAAAACTCAAGTTCAGAGTTTAAATGACTTCACCAAGATTATGATGATGGTAAATTGCGGGACCAGGTAAATGAAAAGGAGAAGTCTTGAATGAGAGGTGGGGGAATACTCTAGGGGTAGTGATGGGTTCTCTTTTAGAAATGATGAGTTTGAGGTTACAACAAAATATCAAAATGCTAGTGATTTGATACCTGAATTGGTATCAAATACCTGGATTTGGCTCTAGAGTTAGGTTATAGTTCCTTAATTTAAAGTGTTTAATACTTCCAGAGTTGCTTTGCCCACATTACATCTATTTTGTCTAAGTACACAGATATCTTTAATTTTTTATACAAAGCGTCAAGCTTGTTACAGACTTTTAAATCCAGATTGCTGTCTCACTGAATTACCTTCCTTTTTTCCAAAAACCAAACAATGTTTAAATAAAATAAACTAAGTAACAAAATGATGAGACCCTCCACTTAAGAAATACGTATTAGAAGTTAGGTACGGAGTCCAATGTTTTACTTACATTATTTATAATCACAAATACTGTATTATTTTAGATGTGAGAAAACTGAGGCTAGATGATAAAGCTGAGTTGGGGACAATAAATACAACAAAAACCCAACTTCAGGTATACAACCTGAATTGAACACATTATTATATGAGAATCAGAAAGTACATCAGACAAGGGTTCACATCATCTTTGCATAAACTAATGAACCTGATATGACAATGTTATTCATTCACACTCTACTTAGTAATGAGATGACAACTGTACTAGATGATCATCTAGGTCAATCATCCCAATCAAGTTTTCCTTCACTGACAAAAACATGACATTTTGGAGCTATATCTTAGAAGATCATCTATAATATATGTACCCCGTGTTTACATGGGAAAGTTAATTGGGTAAGTACTTTGAAGATACAATCATAGTAATATCCTCAAGCACCTTTCTGTCTAGAAACGGGGTAAGGGCTTAGATATGTACAGAAATGACCAAAATACAGGGAAGAGAGTTGTGTAGGTTCCAGATAATGTGGGTAAAGTGATACGGAAACTCAAAAGAGTTTATTTCTATATTCAAGGATCAGGTAAATTTTCATACAAATGGCATTTGATTTGGGATTAATAATGAGAGGAACATTATAAATACTGTTTTAAGGAAAAAATCATAAAAACAAGTACATTACAAAGCAGTTCACTTATAAGTATCCACTGAGCAGAACAGACAGTGATGTACAATTTCTAAGGAATAGCTGAGGAGATAAGGAAAGCTTTATGTGGGGGCTAAGGACTAAAATAGGACTTGAAGGAAGATTGAGGTTTAAATGGGAGGGTGGGCAAAAAGAAGTCATTTAAGATGGAGGAATAGAAAATGAGTTTTTAACAATTTTATCAGTGCCTGACACAGTATGCCAACACATATTTGCTAAATGAATTATATATCCAAAGGCAATCTTATTATTCATCAGTGTAAGTGAGACAATAAACTAGAACTGACTCAAGGCAAGGGTGAATATATAAATGTGTTACATAATAATAATGCCCCTGCCAGAATGAGAAAAGGTTGGTCTCCCTCACCACCAGATACACACAATCTGGAGAGGTGAAAGATGACTAGACTAGGCTTGGTGACTTGGTTATTGGAATTCAATTAACTGAACCAACAAGGGCCCCATTTCAGAAATGCATAGACTAGGATGATAGGGGTTGGGGGGAGTTGAAGCAATGGTGGTGGTAATCTAGTTCATGTTTTTTCCCCAGTTTTCTTTCCAATGTATCCTGAAAGCCCTAATGAGAGGTACCTATGGCTCCCCAGAGCTCTGAAAATAGAGTCATTAACTAGTCCGGTCTTGAGGATGGACTAGATTCACCTATCACTTTTACTTTTGAGTTTATATTTCTTCCCTTCCTATGTTTTCTGCCTGTCTGCCCCCCAAACCAACCTGAAGACACTGTTCCCAGCCCATTCTCTGTGTTCCCAACAGTCACCAAAAATGAAAAACCTTCATATATAAGGGTGCCCCCCAAAAATCTGAAGAATGGGATGAGGTCATTTGTAAGTCACTGATTTCTGTTGTCCAAAGGTCCTGTTGGTTATATCATCCTAGTTAAGTTGTCCAAAGAATGAGGGGAAAGGCAGGCTAGTGTCCCTTTCTCTCAGAGGTGCTAAAGTCCAGTGGGAACAATGTTAAACCAGTAGCAAGCAAAACCTGTGTTCTAGCTTCAGACTTTGGGCAAGCTAATTCAATATTCCAAGGTCTCCTTTCACCCCCTGGAAGGTGTTTTAAGGACAGCAAAACACTAATTCTATCAGCGGTGCTCCAAAGAAAGAGTCTCAAACAGAGTAGGAAAAGGAAGTGAAACTAAGATATACATGGAGTGGCAGCCTCTGTCACATACACTAAGGTATTTAATCTACCCAAATATCTTTAAGATTATTACTCCACATTCTCTAGTAGAGAAAAGCAATGCCTAGGATCACACAGCTAGTAAGTGGTGGCATTAGGATTTCAAAGCAGATCTGCCTGTTACCCCAACCATCATAGTCTCCATCAGCTTCAAATCCAAATTTGGAGATTATTCTCTTTGCCTAGTTATTATCACATTGAGTGCCATCAGACTGCTGCTTAATAAACGCTTTTCTTTACAATGTAGACAGAACAAAAGGAAATAAAGGATCGTTCCCTTGACCATCTGTTTGTATTTATTTTTCCAAAGAATAAGTTTTATTTATTTTGTGATTTATTTTTCCCCAAATTCTTAGAGTTAAACATAAAAAGCCCACAAAAAGGCAGCTCTTCTAAGTGACCATTGCAAATCGATACTCTCTAGCAATCCCAGCAATTCGGCCCAATCTTCCACCTACACAGACAAACCAACCGCCTTAGCCACGTTTTAAAGAGCCAGGGCAGGGCCTATGCTTTCTTCTCCAACCATGCCCAGCCCCTCCTTAAAGAGCCGGCACGCCCAAAGCAGCTCCTCCCTGGCGGCTGCCTTCAGGGCCTCGCCTTTCAATAGCCTCGGCTCAAACCTTAAGCCCCTGCTCTTCTTCCTTTTAGAAGCATATCTAGGTACCTGCTACTATTTAGGGGGGTTACCTTGGAACGTTGGCCTTCCGAATCCCGTTCTCTCTGGTAGCAACTTTGGCTGTGTGGGGTTAAGTCAAGACAAACCTTACCCCTGAAGGAAAAATGAAAGCACCAAACCAGGGCGGATTAAATTAAACAAATCCATCCATTCGTGCCCCTCTTCATTTCTCCTACGAGGCTCCCCAAAGTACTCCTCCCATTCCGAACCCCTCTTTGCTCAGCCCTTTAGCAAAGTCATTTTCCCTTGAGTTTCACTTAATTCCACATAATGTTTGTACCCTTCTCTCCCCACAGCCCCCGCCGCACTCCCTCTACTAAAACCTATAGAAGTGAGGAGTGGGGGTGGGATGAGGGATAGAATCTAGAGGGAGGAGATGGGATTGGGTGGGTTCTAATTCCGGAGTCACTTACCGCCCATGTCACTAGCTGGAGACTCCTGAAGTGTCCGGAGCTCATGCGGTCCTCTGAGAGGCTCATACTCCTGATCGCAAGACAGCTGTTTCCCTCACACCCGCCCCTGTCTGACAGCGCGCCAGGCGGCTCGCTCTTGCCTTCTCTTTCTCGGCCCCCCACCTCCTCTTTTTCTCCTGGCTGGAAATGAGGAGGAGGGCCAGAGCCGACAGAGTCGATTCAGACCCAGCTGGACCACCCTCGAAACAAGGGAAACAAAGCTCTCAAGCATCCAACCCCAAATTGGGGAGCCAGAAAAACCGACTTCCTAAAAAGAATCTTCCCCTTGCTGCAATGCTCTTTTAGCTCTTTTCCTCGGCTAAAAATAAAGTGGGTTCGCTGGGCCCAAGTGGCCAAGGTTGAGGATCCTCCGTTCCCCTTTCACCTCTACCAATTCAGTTCCGGCCAAACCCACTCTCCACCCATCCTCTGAACTCCACACACCCTTGAGGAGAGTGCCGGGGGCTAAGAGCTAAGAAAACCAGCCCAAACCCCAAAGCACTACTTGAATACAAAGTTGAGGCGGAGGACTCCTTCAAGACAGGAACCCAGGAGAATATACCACAAAAAGATCCCTTTACTGCCGTTGTTGCTGCTGCACACTCCAAAGCCTTCCTAAAAAGAAAGAAGGGAGGGGCAAATGCCTACGATTGGTGGAAACACATAGGGGCACCCCAGTCTAGGACAGGGGCTTTAGCAAAAAACGTCAAGAACTTGTGCGAGTACTCTAGAGCGAGGTTTCTTGGGTGCACCTAGTTGCCCCACTGGGGACCTCACGTTCATGAGGGTCAGTACCGACAGTGCTAGCTGGGCAACCCGAGTGGGTGGGGTGACTTGCCTCCTGCCCGGCTAGAACCAGAGAAGTGGTGTGACTATCCTGAGGGTGGAGTTACTTAAAAGGAACAGGCGGACACTAGAGGAGAGTGAAGAGAGGAAGGAGGTGGAGAAGGGGGGCGCTGAGACCAAGGAGGGAGAAGGGAGGGGGTGGGGCGGGGCCCAGTGTGGAGAGCTCTGGTCTTTTCCCTGGCGGCAGTCTCCAGAAGCAGCAGGTACAACTCAAACAAATTCAGTTCCTTATTCTTAAAGAGGCTTGCAAGCACACCGTTTGGTCACCTATCCGTTTGCGTGTTAAGTTGAGGGAGGGTGAAAGGGATGTGGGAATTGGGGGTGGGGGCTGTATAGGAAGGGAGGAATAGGGAAGGGGAAAAGCAAGAAAGCTGGCAACTGAAAAATATTTACAGTCCTAGCTCTGCATGGTAACACTGTGACACTAGCAAGGACAACGAAGTCACAGTATCTTCTCAGGGAGGAGACTAAGAGCAAAGAAGAATGGAACTGGGGGCATTTTCTAGCAAGATATAAGGGAAGAAGGTGAGGGTGAAAGGGTGGGAGGGGAAGAAGGAGGAGATGAAGGAACTGTGAATACTGAAAGATTCTTTTTAGTCTCCCAAATACCAGACCTCTAAGAATAGAGTCCTCAAACCCCTGAGATGACCTCTCTTCCAGGCATTGTGGAAGATCCCTGTGGAGCTGAATCCATAGCAAATCAGCCACATTTCCAGGATTTCTTTGCCCTTGCTTGAAAGTCCCTCTCTAAACCATTTAATAGGAGGCCAGGAAGTCACAGGCAACCACAGGCCTTTTTCAGTGCCTCTTTCCTACCACAGTTCTTTTAAAGGGGAGGAAAGAAGAGAGAAGAAACAAAGCAGAGAGAGGGAGGGAGCAGAGAGACAGGAGAAATAATAATAGCTACTGTGTATTCAGCACCTAATATGGGCAAGTCACTAGGCCAGGTGTTTTTACATTCATCATTTCTCATTTATTCCTGATAACAACCCTGGAGAATAGGTGCTATTATATTCTCCAAGCCCCTCCTTTATTTTTTTGGCCACCAGGGAATTCCCAAGCCCCCTTTTAAAAATAAGGAAACTGAGGTTCACAGCCCAGTACCTCCCAACACATATATGCCCACTCACTTGATATTGCTGCCAGAATCTCTAATCGTCTCATCTCTTCTTATTCCACCCCAAACTCGGTTATTCCTCCTGTAGTTCACCTGAATGACATCACCATGTACCCCAACATCCAAGCCAACACTCTGGGACTCATCCTTTAATCTGCTGTGATCTGGACCCTGCCTACCTCTCAGGCAGCAGAGCTTTTGCTGATTTCCTGGGCCTTACCTGTATTAAATATCCCTGAGAATGCCAGGTTATTTCCATCCTCTATGCTTTGGCTCACTTTTCTTTCTCTTTCTCAAATGGCCTAAGCTCTCTGTCTACCTCCTTGAAAGGACTAATTCAAGATCATCTCCCCTCCTTACTTAATTCCTTCAGGCAGAACTAACCATCGCTTCCTCTGTGCCCTTCTCTACCTCAGGGCACATATTTGTTGATATAATTGCTTGCCCACACTAGACTATAAAGTCCCTGAAGTTAGGCACAAGATGTTATCATCTCTGTAACCTGAGTGCCAGGTATTATTATTAACAATAATAATAGTTATTGACCATTAACTATGTGCCAAACTGTTCTAAGCCATATGTGTATACATATATACACTTATTGAGTGTGTATATATATATATATATATATATATATATATATGTTTTATATATCACAGCTAATTGCAAAGGCAGGACTTTTCCTTTATATTCTTTGCCTTTTGACACATCAATAATCAGCAAGTGGCCATGTAAGTCACAGGAAAGGGTATGGGGGAACACGTATGGAGAAGTAGAAATTGAGATCAGTTTCCCTCTCCTTCCAGGAAGCAACACAGACTCTCCTTTGTATTAGCTTCCTTAAGAAATAAACCAAACAGCGACCTGCAATACCTTCAACTCCTTCTATCAAACCCGAAGGCTTGAGACTGTCTGCTTGAAGTAGCAGCCTGTGCTTTCCTCTTTATAACCAGAGTCAGATGAGGGATGTAAGAGTTAAATTAAGCAGGGACCCAATGAACAACAGCTAAGAAATATGCAGATAACCCAGGTGTCAGGGCCCAAGAAACACTGTTTTTCCCTTTCCCTCTTCCTCCTCTTCATCCTCTTGCCTCTCCTCCTTCTTTTCTTGAAAGCCAGCTGACAAACTAGTAGGGTGGAGCCCAGTCTGAGGGCTGGAGGGAGGGGAGGAAAAGCCTCAGTAAGAGGACTCCACCCTCCCTGCTCCCAGTAGAACAACAACAAAAGAGAAGTCTTGGGGAGCTGGGGCTGAGAGGAAGGTGGGGTAGAATAGGGTGAAGTGAGGAAGGGAAGGGAGAGCATGGGGAGATAGGGGCCCAACAGCGTAGAGCTGGTCTGGGGAAATCAAGTTGTATATAAACAGAAAAGCCTGCATTCTTAAGTCACTGTTGTTCATGGAACAACAAAAGTGTAGCTGAAAGTAGCGCATAGCTCAGATCTAATAGGAAACATATTGCCCTCCTCACCCACTTTCTTCTTGTTCTGCAGTTCCCCAGAGGGAATATTCCCCCTGTGAGCTCAGCTAAAAGGAGACCTTTTGCCCCTCTGCTAATGTTGAACAAGTGTTAAGTTCCTCACACATGCCAGAAGACAGTGCTAAGTTCTGCCAGCAAAGGATAAGGATATTTTAGAGAAGGAAATTCAGTTAGCTGAGAAGAGAAAACCTGGAAAGAGATTGTGGGAGAAAAACAATGACTTAACTTACAAACTGTACAACCTTGGGCAAGTGACCTCACTTCTCTAAAAGTCAGTTTCCTCACCTATTTCTTTTAAAAGTATACCGCTAGTACTTCTCAGAATTGTCAAAAGATTTAAAAAGATGCAGAGGTGGCTTTACAGTGAAATTAATGAAGTTTGAGCTTCGAGGCCCCTCATTTGAATGGCCTTTCCAAGACACTGAGAGTGATCAAACTGTGTTTTTCTTAAAGAGGATCCCCAACGTTGTATAAGCTTCAGGCCCCACAAGTCCTAGATCTGCCCGCAATGAGATTATAGCCTACAAAGCACAGTACCTCACACAAAGAAAGCACTCAAGATAGGATAACTATTATTCTTAGCAATGGCAGCTCTTAAATCTACTAGCTTTAGATTGCGTCCCTTTCTGGACACAGATATTGGGAACATGCCTCCATGTTTCCCATAACTCTCATACTTGTATATATGAATAACTTATAAAAATTAATAACTAAACTGCTTGCTTGAGACATTCAGAGGCATGACTAAATTCACTTTAGGAATGGCCAATGGGCCAGGAGCAAGTGACCAGGCTTTGAAATTCTCTTGGAAGAGCCCCATCCTAGGCAAGCTCTAGCAGGCCTGCTACCATCCACGAGTTTAGTTGTACCTCAGGCTGCTAACTTTATGAGCAGAGCTTGACTAGGGGTTTGTGTGTGTGTGTGTGTGTGTGTGTGTGTGTGTGTGTATGTGTGTGTGGACTTTTCACACTATTTAGACCATAGATGCTACCACACCTATAAATTGGAGGAGGGAAGAGGCTTTATAATTAACAACAAAAACAAAGCAGAAAAACTGGGATCCTCAGCCTCATCTGCAGGAAAGGAATAACATCCTTGGCCTGGTCCCAAAAATGTATATTCCTGAGTCAGGGAAGGATTCTACTGAGTATACAAGAAAAAGACTTGCATTCTTGCTTTCATATTAAACAAATAAATATACAAGATTGTCAAAGGAAATGTATAAATAGAACAGGAACTTCTTTATCATTGAGCTGGATTCAGAGAGGCACCAGGGCCCTGCAGCCCTCCCCGGCAAAGCAGACTCATGATTATCATCCTTGCATTACCACAGGTAGCTCTCACTTTCCTAACAGATGGGTTGTGTCCATCTACCACTGTCCCCCAAACCAGTGGGAGAATGGCTTTCACCCTACAGCCTATTGTAGTCTTATTACTTCCCTGAGAAAGTAAGAGGGAGAGAAGAAAGAAGATGGGGAGTATGTATTCAGTGCTTTCTTAAAACCTTTCCACTAACATACCTATCGAGGTATTGCACCTTTATTCTTTCCTTCCTCTGCTCTTTGTTTGTCCAAATGTCCCTGTATTGTGGTAGCTCTTTCCTCTCAAGTCAATATCACAAATATAGTTGTAGCAGCCTACCATTAAGTCACAATGACAGGACATTACCTTTTCAGGTCAGGTTAGTAGTGAATTTAAAAGTGTAAGGCAGGCAGATTAGCAATGGTAACTCACTTCATAAAGTGAGATAAATGGTTTGATCTGGGAAGTGAATCTATAGTATGTCATGGGGATATAGGCAACTACACCTGTTTACATGGTGTAAACACATAGTTGAAATGATCAGGACTATGTGAAGAACAGGTGAAAAAATATACACAAATATGATGAAAATAAAACACTGGAGGCATACACTAGAGGCAAAAGTTAGTCACCCAAGCACAGAATGTTGTTGTAGGAAGGGCCTGAAGAGATCATTTCATTCAGCATTTTTCAACATGTCTTAGGCATACCCCTAGTGTTATGAAGGATTATCTTAGGCAGTACAGAGTTAACTATTTTCTAATAGTATGCATGTATTTTAATGGTTGCCTTCTATTTATGGGGAGTTAAACTGGCTTTCTACTTATGGTAGTGTTATTTTCAATGCAATTTTTTAGTAAAATAAGTCAGTTTAT